GTATCTAAGAGTCCAAAAATGATGACAGTTACAAGGAAACGAGAGGGGGGGGGTCGAGCCAAACCTTGGAAAAAAAGGTGGAGCCAAACGTTTGAAAAAAAAAAACCACTCCACCGTTTCGTGGGGCTGAGGGTGTGGGGAGATTTCAGGTCTTGGTCTTGGGTTTCTTCCGGGTTTAGGGCTTTGGCTTTGGGGTTCAGGGTGTGGAGAGGGTTTAGGGTTCAGCGTTGTCTAGGGCTTAGGTTTTTTTGGTCTTAAGGCTGCGGGAAGGGTTTAGTGTTTGGGGTCGTTTGGTGCAGGGTTTAGGGTTGCCCAATCAGGTTTAGGGCCGCAGAGGTTTTAGTTGTTTGTGAATTACAGGCCAGCCAACCTCGCTGTCCCTGAGCGGACGTCCTTTCGATCTGATTTGTATTTCCCCCTGAACCGATTCGGGCTCTAGCAAGCGATCCGATACGTCGCATCCGCGATCCAACTGGCACGGTCCCTGACGCGATTTGTTCCCCCGTGATCCGAAAAAATGCTTTCTCATTCGCGCCTCCCAAGATCCAAGCCTTGCTATCCGATTCATCAGAGCCTTTTGTAGCTCCGTTGCTGGCTCGTATCCTGCCAGTGCTGACAGGCCGGCTGTGTCTTGCTAGCTGCCCAGTTGACATAAGTTGCCATGATTCCTGGAGGCCAACAAGGAAGTTGCAGACTTCCTTCTGCCCAATCTGGATGGTGCCTCTCCCAGGATCAGACTTTTCGCCTGCAGAGGGCACTTGGCACCGGCTAAGAAACCTTCAAGTTGCAAGTTTTTGACTTGTCGTGCCTGGGGGATAATTCAGTTCTGTGAAGTGACCCTACCAAAGGTGCTGACCACGTGATGGAAAGCGAAGCAACTTTCGACATCATCAACAGCCTCTTCCAGGTCGTTATAGCAAGCTTTTCGAGCATGCAATCATCTTGTCTGATTCGTGTGCGGAGTGTCCTCACATGGGTAGTTTCGAATCCGGTTGTGGGTACATTGCAACTGCAGCCATTTGCCAGACCATCGCTGGCGGCAAGCGGCGGATAGATTTTGCGGACTTCAAGGCGTATTTCAAGAAGGCCCAGCCATGTTGTGGAGCATGTGGAGAGTCGGGCGATGTCGGGCCCAGTGCTTTGCGGCAAAAATGTCTGAAAAAGCGATGGCAACAAATCGCTTCGCTTCACTGTGATTTCACGCAAAAATAGTAATGATACTAGTAATACTAATAAGTATACTAGTAACGATAACAGTAAGAACAAAAGTAATAAGAGTACTAATTACAAGCCAGAGCCTGACCAGGTCACCTCCGTTTCGGCCGCACGGCCCATTCACCGGGAAAGCACGCGAGTTTTCATTATCGGACCAGGCCGGCAATTGGGATCTCAAACCTTGATAGGGGGTTATATACGGCTTGTATTGGGATAATGGAAAATAACATGGAAACTACAAGAATTATAGGTTTCATATAGCAAATATAGGGTTACAGGGTGTATATATATATATATGTATATATGGGTTTTGTAGGGATAATGGAAAATAAAATGGAAGCGACTATCTAGGCTACTTACTTATATTCGGGTATATTATGGTATATTATAGTTATAGTATATCATAGAGGTATGATTGGATATGATTGGGGGATCTAAAGCCCTAAACCCTAAATAGTAGCTTCCATTTTATTTTCCGTTATCCCTATATTATATAACCCCAATCTATTCCCTATATAAACCCTGTAATCCCTATAGTTTCCATTTTCTTTTCCATTGTTTATCCCTATACAACCCCTATATACCTCCCATAATATCCCTTATGTGGACCTGGGGGTCTGGCCGCCTCCGGCTGGATGTGTATTAAATAGTAGCTTCAATTTTTTCCATTATCCCTATATAACCCAATATAACCCTATTTTACCCTATGTTACCCTGTATAACCTTGCTTCATTCCATGTTGTTTTCTTTTGCAAGCTGTCGTGTCAGGATTTGGACAGAAGCTGAACCCGCGGCAGTCTGCCATGCTCACGAATGCCGGATACCAGGCATATGTGTGTGCTGTAAAAAATTGAGCCACTCATCTCCTCCATGCTTACGGTATGCTCTTGTCAGAATGCCACTGTATCATGATCCGTTGCCTGCACGCATGCAAAGACCAAACCCACCCGTGTGGAGGCGCACTTCTGTCATGGCATCCCGAACCCTGAGACACCGCACTTCTCGGTTCAGCAGTACTTGGATCACATCAAGGATGGGCCGGTCGAAAACCTGCACACAGAGTGTATACGATATACAGAGCTCCCCACACGATTCAGGGTTTGGTATACGATCTGGAAGAAGGAATGCGGGGTTCAGCTCAGTGGCGCAGGGCCGGGCAGGTTTGATTTATGATGCTGGCTCGGAAGTCCGGGAGAACAGTCAGTGAGCTCCCAACGGTCCTTCCCATTTCATTTGGGACAGAAAAATGACCGCCTGGATGGTTTATTATCCTTCAACGATTTGAGACCCTCACAACACTGAAGCCCTCACACCCCGGCTGCCAGGAAGAAATGGATGCCTTTGGACCTGATGTAGTATGCGCAGCATCCAAGGGAGGTGCGCACGTCTTGATGTTCCTTGTAGATGAGCTCGTAAGTTCGCTCCGCGGAAGTGTTGTTTCCTGAAGTTGAAGCTTTCATGCTCAAGACAGAGTAGACGTTCGTGTGCTTGAGGTCACAAGGCGGTCCTGATACTGTCACAAGCTTGAATTTTCCAGTTTGACCTGAAGCTTCGGTAGCTCGGCAATGCTTTCGTGTGGCTATCTGACAGGAACAGCTATGCTCCATAAGTTATGGTGCATATCATTTCTCGGAATCTGTCGTAGAACAGTGCTGCAAGTGTGAGCCCCATTCCCAAACTCGGTGCGGGGTCTGGGGTTGCTTGGAAGATGAAGGTTTAGCTTTGTGGGGCAGGCGTCTACCTCATCGGCCTCTGGCAGGCGTGGGGAGGGGGGAATCCACAAAGTGGCAACTGTACTGACAAGCTCGCTATCCCGTGCCTGCGTCATGCGGTAGCCATTCCTGGCCAGGATGACGCAGTGATCCGCACATTGAATGCGCAGATGAGTGAACTAGCAATCATCTTAAGTTCCTTCACGCTAAAAATCTAAGCTGGAGACCCTAGGAGGCCTATTCAAAGGAAGGCCCTGAGTTGGAAGAGACATGCAGTCCTGGACTTGAAAGCCACATGTCTGCCAGACGGGCCTCTGGCGTGGACCGAGCCTCCTGATCAACGCCCACCCTTCCTGCAAGGAGCTGCCAAAGGACCGGATTTCAAGCTCCTTTGTTTCGTGAGGTCCACTTGTCATTCTTGCCAAGAGCCTGGCATGACAGAAGAGTCTTCCTTCCTTGCAGGGCGTGCCAATCGTGCTTGCGCAGGGCGGAAATGATGAGGTGCAAGATTTAGTGTCATGCTTTGGGGGAACGAAGTGCCTCTCAAATCCTCATTGCTTCCTGAGCGTCTCCCCAGTTGTAGCAGAAGGTAGGGTTGGGGAGAGGAACGCATCTGAGCCACCATCATGACCTTGTGCAGGTCTATCCCACTTCACGAGCAGATCTTGAGCGATTGATTTCCACCGGCACTGAAAACAAGTGCTTTCTGCCAGGGCCTCGGCATGGTAGAATGCTGTGAGCCGACGCGAAGCAGCAACAGAACTGGGCGCCACAATGTAGCAACTTTTCTTGGCACTCCAATCTAAACCAGCCCCTGTCTGGAAAGAGAGTTGATCCTGTACATAACAGCTATGCACAACGAGCTCAGTCTTGCCCTGACCCGCAGATTTGCATAAGTCTTGGTCAGCCTTCTCAGGCAAAGAGAGGTCCCTATCATCGTTTCTGGAGTGCTTGCTTCCAGATGTCGCCTGCAGGTACTATGCAGGAAACAGCGGGCCCATGGCGTCTGGACAGCGCACCCGCATAGGTGACAAGCACAATATGGAGCCTGGCACTGAGTTTTCATTAACTAGAAATTATTGACTACTAAATATCCCCTCTATAATTGTACCATATTGGGGTCATTCATCACATTGTTTATTAGGGAGTTCGGAGCAATTTTGGCCTTAAACATTTCCAATCATGGAGACTCAAACGGACAAGAACATGGACACTGTATTGCTGACCAGTGTAATCATATGTATAAGAATCAGGTCCCTGGTCTTGCGAGACTGTCTCCCACGCCTCGTTGACGCCACTTTGTGCGCTGATGGCCCAGAGGCCCTGCTTCCGCAGTTCCTTGCGTTCTGTGCGTTGGTTTCTCATGCGTTAAGGCTAGCTTGCTATCCACATGCTGGAAACTTAAAATGAAACCCTAAGCCCCTAAAGCCCTGAGCCCTGGGCATCCTTGTAACTAAAAGCAGGCCCACATGCTCCGCTCCTGGCGAGAGCGGCTCTCCGAGGAGCGACGCGAAGCTGAGCAGTGGATGGGCCTGAACCTCAGCTTGGACCAGATTATACAGTAATATTCTGGTTATCATTAAGCATATAGTATTTGGGTGGACCCTTGGATTGAAGGGCTTAGGGTTCTGAGTAGGTTCTGAATGGGGTACCTTACATGGTGGGGATCGCAAGCAAGGCAATTCGTTGGGGTTTGAGGTTTCTGAAATTTCTGGCCTTGTGTGATGGGTTCAGATAGGCATTCATCTTGAAATGCTGGAGTTGTATAGGGGACTTCAGTGGTTTGAAGTGTCCACACCTGAAGTTGGCAAATCATGGGAACATGACATTCGCAAAGTAAAACAATGCTGTCAGTGATCGAATGAGGTTGGCACGAGTCTAGAGGTTTAGTGGAGCTGCTTCCGACAGCCGTTTGTAGGGACCTTTCGGTGTAGGGGTTGCTGATATTCAGAAATGATGAAAGGTCACCTGAAGCATGGTTTTTCGGCGAAGCTCGAGATATCCTCGTCCCTTCTGTCAAAAGGTTGGGATATGAATCCTTGCCGTACCCTCACCACCCAGGACTTAATGGTAAGCTATCTACGCCACTGAGTATGGCGCTGGCGAGAAGGAAAGCAGCCTGCTCTTGGTCTTTGTCCTGCATGGCGCGTATTTACCTCCATGGCAGTCTGCCTGAAGCACTGAGGCTACAGCCCCGAGGTCCTCCGCAAACGCTGGGCGGGCTCCCAAGGTTTTGGTCAAATGTTGGATGTAATAGCAAGCATAGCAGTAACAACATATTCCAAGCCACCATTTGGCTTTGAGGATGAAAGGAATATGCTGGCTTCAGGGGTTGAGCGGGTGAGGCTGGAGGCGATGCTCCCTCAGCATAAGCAAAGGGTCCTGTTTTTCTTGAGGGGCTTCACGGTCTGCTTGGAACAATGTGAATCATTTACCGCAAGAAGTCTTGAGAAGCTGAAATCACAAGGACATTTTGTCGCTCTGGGGCGAAACAGGTATTTCTTGGAATCAGCGCCACTCGTTCCAACAGATGCATCCTCCAATGCGCTCCGAATATGGGCACAGACTTTTGCTGCTACGAGGAGCTTAGAGAGGTAAGGTTTAGCAAGCAAGGTGACCCGCGGCATGGACGAGGAGAAGCTGCAAGAGGTGGACTTGCCTGGGATCCTGCGGGGGAGCTATGCGGGATATGGGATTCTAATTGTAAGTAGTAGGGCGCCTTCAGGATTGCTTGTTGCCAAATGAGAATGACTTTCAGTAATGTTACAGCAGTCCCATGTTTTCTTTATGACCCACAAGGAGACGTTGCCCGGGCTTGGTAGGCTTTTTTTGGGCAATGTGGTCTCTGCCTAGAGGCTTTTGTGGGTGCATCTTTAGATGTTCTGGCCGATGTCCTATATCCTCCCTTGGGTCCCTTGAAAGAAGCAGAGCCTGACGAACCAGATACGCATCTTGCAGGTGCTCCCTGGTACCGAGGAGTATGCGCACGTCATGGCTATGTTCAGGGCCACTCCAAAGGACCTCATCAGGGCTCAGGCGTCAGTGCGTCAGGTCAGGTAGAAAGGTTCAAGAATGAAAGTACTGAGAATGTAGGGTTTGGGATTTAGGGCCCTTAGGATCTTTGCTTTAGATCTTCCGTTCATTCCTCCGTTTTCTCGTCTGCAGACCTGGCTTGTGGATTGCACGCCACGTTGTTGACAACCATTGGGTCTATCCACAATCCAGTTCAGGCTCACTTGTGGAATGACAATCATACCCTGATCTGGCCAAAATTCCCCCCTCACATGATCATCCTGGTCGCATTCAAATCCACAACATTTTGGAATGGGCTTTCTGCTTGTAGTCGGTGCAGGAGCCGCCCGTCTATTCCGTGACGCCGCAGGCTGGATCCCAAGTGCGGAGTCAGGAAGAATGAGCTTGCTCTGATTGGCTGCGTGGTGCTGACAGTCTTAGAGTGCAGTTTGCTGCAATGCTACTATTACTGGAGTTACTAGAGGTTCTCGCGGAACGCTTTGCACTGGAAAATAGAGCTGCAAAGCTTGAGGATTTTGAGCTCGGTTGTTCAGAAGGTTGGGGTTTTCAGGCCTTTTAGCAGGCAGCTGCCAGTGCAGCATCTGACGGAACGTACCACCTGACACATTTGATGAAGCAGGCCTAATAGTCGCTCGAATTACAGCAATAGTTTCCTACCTTTTTTTGCCCCCTGATGCCGAATTGGTGTAATGACCGAATTCTCTTGTTGAAGACAGGGGAGGCTTTCAGTTCAGGATGAAGCATTTGCAATATCTGGCGTGAAAGATCCTTGTACTGATCGGCTGGGGTGACATGGAGCTGATGCCCCAAAGCAGGAAACTGACAGATCCCATATTCTGAGGCGACCTGGGACCAGGTGCCGGGATCTCAGCTGTGGCTCTGTGAGCTCTGATTGCAGTTTACTGCAGCTCACGCAACACCAGAAAAAGGCCGAGGCAAATTGGAAGCTCGAAGTCTCCTCATTGAAGTTCATGAGACTTGCTTTGTGAGGCAGGTTCGTTCGATTCATCGGGTGGAGAACGGACCACAGCTGGACGGATGCACAAAGCCGCCTCTTGGAAGCATGTGGAGAGGCTCACGCAGATGTCAACTGATTCTACATTCTACACTTCTAGACAAGCGTTGGCAGTTCGGAGACATCGGAAGCATGTAAGCTCCGTGTGGCTAATTACAGGTAGCTAGAATAGCTTGGGCTCTCCTCTCTTGCTGGAGAGATCCATGGCGCCCCATGCACATTCAGGGTCTCTTCTCTTTCTGCCCAGGTATTTTGAATCCCTCCGACGAAACTTGGAGGATCAGGTCTGGAACCCAGGTCAATGTCCCGATGGGTGCATGCGACCATCACCACCCACTCCGAGGTAGCTGCAGCTAAGAAAAGATGGGCTGCCACTACCTTCAATTTCTGTGTAACAATGCCAGGAATTCAGTTCAGGCCTAACCTAGTGAAGCCAGCAAGGGCTATCACCAAGTTCAACTCCTGGAAGTTATTGGCCTTTACTGCAGGAAGGTCAATGCAAAGCAGCGTCATCACAAAACCGAAGTCATTTGACATGAAACCTAGAGCTCTGCATCAAGTCAGACATGGGAAGTTGTGCAGCTTTGAGAACTCCTGAGTTTCTGCAGCCCACAGCACAGCAGCACAGCGACTGCCAGGGTGTTGAGTTCGAGCCCGGCACTCACACGTCGCCTGGTTGCAGTCATCATGCCAGCTTGCTTCGCACGGGACAATGGCTTTGGCATGTGAGTTTTCAGGTCTACCAGTGATGTGAGGGGTGTGGAGAGTGCTAGTGTGCTACTTCAAGAAAGCGTTTATGATCTTAGGCGCTAGTGAACCAGAAGAAATACTTTACTTCATCCAGGGGCTGAATGCTAAGCATTGCATAAATTTGTGTCAAGGCCTGTGCCCTTCAATCCTGATGGCCTGCCAGGAACAGGGCATGAAGCACTGCCAGTACCAGGGCTACCAAGGGATCCAGGGTGGATACAGGGGTCCTTTAGGCTGACGTAGCACAGCCCCTAGTCTATTCCCTAGCAGGAACCCAGGTCCACAAATGGTAGAAAAAGAATTGACAGTAGCATATGTGAGTGCCTGGTCTTCCTTGCTCCCCTGACCGTTCATGGCTACCAAACCTTGTGTAGCCAACCAGAAGTTGAGACCTGGTTTGTTGATCCCCCTTTGGGTCCCTAGTATACCGCGCCAACAAGATGTCGGGCACCCCGAAAAGGACCGGAATTCTGGCAACCCCACCCTACACCCTAAACCCTAAACCCTAAACCCTCAACACCAAACCCTTAACCCCCCCAAACTGAAAGATCAAAGGGCTGGAGCCTGAGGTGCTGGGCCTTCCACGGAGCCCGGAGTGAGGCAATCGAGCTGGGGAGCCTATCTCTTTTGGGAATACCTGAGGCCCCAGAGTATATAGAGTCAGAATAGTGACCCTCTGGACTGTTTTGTTGTTTTTACATGTTTCTTGGGTGTCATTCTTGCACCCACTTTTGACGTCCAGGTAGGATAAGGCTTAGGGCATCTGGGCGATCAGCATATTTGAAACCTGACGCAGCAAGAAGCCAGCTCTGTGGTCCTTGGAGTAGCGGTAAATGCAGCATGGAAGCGCCAGGATCCGGGAGAGCTTAATCTTTCTACAAGCAGCCTTTCAGCAGTCGAAAGGCATCTATGGCAGTGGCATTGACATGTAAGGTCCATCGTCAGCAACACGGTCGCGGGCTTCCAGCCCCTGGCATCAGGCTAGTCGCTGTTCAGTCAAGCTCAACAGTCTCCAGTGCAGTGAAATCAGATCCCAACTCTCCACTTCCGATTTTGCAATCTAACTCCACGAATCCGTTTGACAAAGCTGCATGCAGCTCCAGCCCAACAATGTTCAGGCACCCGTGGCGCAAACGTTTGGGGCTCTGGAACCTATTTTGCCCGCGACGCAAAGTGAGCTTTCCCGCGCACGGAGCTTTGAATTTCGGTTTGGGGCGGCGTGGAAATTGCTCTACTTTCCAGGGCGGTGTTGCAATTTTTCTTGAAAGGTAAAAGCACCATTCTGAAAGCGTAGGTACGTGGCAGATGGGGGCTTCTGTGGGCAGCCTGCTGCGGATGGAACACGGCAGATGTTGGTGCAGGAACCCCAGCTCTGCAGGGAAGCTTCAGTTGTGAGCTGAAGACTTACTGGGAACATGATTGGGCTTCGGACTCTCCCATACATCTCTGGCCTAGGCCATGGCTGGGGTATGGTGTTGGGCACCGGGGAGTCTCTAGATACTCCGGGACTTGGGACACAGATCAGACAGGACCATCTGACCAGTAAGAACTATACGAATCGGACATTGTGCCCAAAGCTGCAAAACATACTCCCTGCGGTATGCAGGCTTCTTGCAGACTCAGGTGCCTCCTGATGACAGGAGTGCCATGCCTCGGTGATCCCGACCACAAGGGCGTGGCGGCCCCAGAGGGTCGGACACGAGGGAATGAGATACAACAGGAAAAGGCAAGGCGTGGAAAGAAAGGCAATGGACGCAGGAGAGCCGGAGCAACATTGTCTTGTCCCTTCTATATAGATGTTTTCAATGCAAATGTCCAAGCATTTTTTGAGTTTGAGTGGAGATGGGATGGCAGTTGGGCTAGTGGGGCACCGGAAGGCACCCAAGTCCTGCTATCTGAGGAAGCAGTCGTGCCCATGGGTTGACTTTGCATTCTCCATGTAGGGACTCCTCCCAGCTGACCCTACGAACACTATTCCCGACCAAAGCCCAAGTCATGCAGGTCTTGCCATTCCGCAATAAGCCGCACCGATATAACTCTTCCGTGGACAGTCTTTCCAGCCAAGAGCTCAGACAAACTTGACCAGGAGCTGGTGGTGCAGCTGTTGCACTTCCACACATTGCTCGTTTGCGTGAGCAGGCCCCGAGATATTCATCGTCCAGCATCCAGGCGAGGGAAGCGGTTAGTCTCAGCTGCAGAGTTGATGCGAATGTGTCTTGCTCGCAGGTGGGGCTCTCCCAGCCTACCTCATCACTTTTGCTTGATCCCTTGATCAAGAGCTTCGAATGAAGCTGGCCAGCGAGAAATATGCCGAAAGATTGCATTTTCCGCGTACAGATGCCGTCACGCAAGCCACGGGCTGCGAAACTTGTATAGACCGCGAGTCTTTGGCTTTTGTGATGCATTGGTGGCCTCAATTCACTGCACAGCTTTGGAGAGGACGCGCTTCCTGGGGTTGCTAAGGAGTTCCGACCCAGCCGCGAACCTCAGTTTTTCCCCTTGTAGCTCTGGAGCCAAATGCTGAGAAGGAGCAATTTTAGTGCTCTTGCTGCTTAGTCAACAGCACTTGGCCTACTGCGGATGCCTCCGCGACCCCGCCAGCCTGCCACGAGTGCAGACGCTCTCTTCAGAGAAGCGGGTGTTGCGCGGGGGAGGTAGGTGCGCGTGCTGAATTTTAGAATTGCACCTAAGGTGCTGGTACATCTTCCGACGCGCAGAAATCTATTCTGAGGGCTCAATTCCTTCCTTTGGAGCTGGTGAGGAGCCTTTACTTCACTGCTCTTGTGCTTCGACTGCAGGTGCTCAATGCCTCCTTGGCCCTTTGCACGTCTCCGGAGCCTCAATCGGCCGCCTTGGCAAATTGCCGGTTGACATTGGAAGTCTGTAGCAGGCCTGTGAAGAGCATCTTGTGGCAATTGCAGGTGACATCGTGGTCAGCCACGCATGTCTCCTTGGTGCAGGGTGAGGCCCATGCCCGCTGATGTCCTCCGTGCGGTAGAATTATCTTTGCCATCAGAGGTGCCTCGGCGGCAGTATGGCTACCAGGACTGCTACAGCCAGACAGTCCAGTGGACAGAGCCATGTGCAAGCATCCCTCTTCCAGCGACATCTCTTGTCTTGATGACATCAACCAAGATGCTGAAAGACATTTGTCTGTGTGCTTGTAAGCCTTCAGCTTCAACAAGTAATTTTCACTGCCAGGACTTTCTGCAGCGCTTGACGGGCGGAACTGGCCCTTCAGCTCCCATCCTGGCTGATGTCTCAGATTCTTTCAGCTGACAATCCCTTGTGGTCAGGTCAGGGCTTTTAGTTTTGGTCTGAAGCTACTGGTGGGCAAGTGACATCTTGAACACACCCCTTTGCATACAAGCTTTTTCAGAGGCCAGCTAAAGACTTGCCAAGCAACACCGGGCAGGAATGAGCACCAGCGGTGTTGACACAAAATCGAAGCAAAGCTGACTGTACCCTCCAAAACCGTGGGTGCCGCAATCGTTGGGCTTTCAAGGAGACCCCGGTGCAAGTCTCTGTGCTGCCGCTTGTGGACCTTCAGGCTGGCTGCATGTGACTCCTCCACATTCTACTTGTAGATAGCAATATCAAATCCCAAGATGCCTTGTACCAGCTCTCTTGCTCAAGCGTAGAGCCTGGGATGAGAAGTTCCCGAAGCCTCTGCAGATGATATCCTCACTTCGGCTCCCAAGTCTTACAACGTAAATCTGACAGTGCAGGCAGTTGCTCCAAGCCAGCTGGTGCTGAAGTATGACCGTGAAGCGCCGCTTGATGCTTCTGGAAATGCTTTGGGTTGATGTCTCTTCGAAATATCTCGCAAGTTCTAGGTCGTGTGGTCTCAAGCACAAACTCCAGGGCTAACCTAGTCAAAGACCAAGTTACTGATGATCACTAATCCAGATTTGCCCTGGCTTTGCGCAAGCGTAGAAGACATGTCCATCGGGTGTATACCTGGGAGCAGATTCTCGGGAGTAGTCTGTGGGCCATGACCACTCCCTCAGGACCGCTTTCCATAGCCACAAGCTGTCCCATCCGTTGACTCGAACAGAGGACGAGGCAGGGGGGCGAAGGTTTCAAAGATAACCAGTCGGGAAGGAGCTTCCGCAAAATTGTTTTGGGGATTGAAGTTGAAGATGCAAAAGAAGCGGTAAGACTGACAGTCTTTCCGCTTGATCTGGCTTTTGGCAGGGGCTGAGCTTTTCTCTAGTACACTTCGAGTTTGCTGGAGTAGAGATCTTCAATCATAAATCCTTTGAATCACGACTTCCCACGACTTGAGACGTGCAGGTCACTGTCGAGGTTTCCTTTGACTTCACAGTAGCCTTCGAGGCGCCAGCGTTTAAAATGGGATTATATATTATGTATAGTTGGGCAGACTACAGAGGTATATCCTTTCTAAGCATGCTTGGTACAGTGCCCCTCTGCCTTCTCTTGAGGGGGCTGGCACTCGCGTGTGACATCTGCAGGAGACGCTATGGAACAGCATGCAGATTGAGCACCTGGTGGCGTGCAGGCCTGCCGCATGCAGGATCATTCGTCGGATTTACAGAGGATCGCCTTGGAGGGTGCAAACATGCTTAGATTCCAATTGGGCGCTGCTGAGCACCTGTTTGAAAGGCTGTCGCTGATGCCCCTGTTGACTCCTCAGTACAGCTGCTACTTCTAAGTCGTCCATCTTAATATGTTTCATACTGTGTGCAGGACACGCATTTTTTCGGGAAAGCAATTCGCCCTCATGGCGTGGCTTTGGCAATGAAGGTCAACCCTAGACCCAAGCAAGGCACCCGACCACAGCTCAAACAGAATGGCCCGAACAGTAGTGGACAGATCTCCGAAGCTAGGCAGCGCAACAAGAGAAACGAGCGTGTTTGATGTTTGTTGATGTCAGATCAGATGCAGAGTGTTTCCAAGGGAGCCTTTCCGAGGCCTGTAAGGACTGGAACATCAGTTAATGCCGCAGCACTGGAATTGTCATGGTAAACTTCCATGGTGGTCCTCCAACGGCATAGTTGAGTATGACTTTACGCACCATACTTGGTTTTGCTGCATAGGCAACGCAGGGCGTTGATAAGAGCATATCACCAAAGAGTTCATTTTCGGCAGCCCGTGACAGTTGTGGATGGTTGCACGGAGCCAGGCTACACTGATTTGCGAACAGAGCCGGTGGGAGGGTTCATTCCACAGCATTTGCCAGGAATGGTCCGGGTACCTGTCATGCACGTCTGGAATTGTCTGGATGCAGATGAAGTCGGATACAACAAGCACATAGCGTCATGTGTAGTTCTAAGGCAGAGAATAGACTAGAAGTTTCCGCGGCTCCGCATCTGGTCTTCGCAAGGTATCAGCCGGAAGGCGCCAGCTGGCAGCAGGCCGTCCAGGGGGGGACCTTAGGAAGTATGGGGACCTTAGGAAGTATGCAGCCATTATCCATGATCCGAGCAGTTGTAACCATCTGGTTTGCAAAGACAGGGGCACTGGGCGCCAGCACCGTGCATCTGAAGCGCCTTCTCAATTCGATGACCGCAGAAGCTTGAAGCCCGTTGTCTTGCTTTTCAGCAGGTACTGCAACATGTAGTCGCATGCTGCCTCAGCATGTGGAACCAACCCTTTCTGGATCCTGTGCCTCAGGTAGTGACGACGCCCGTCAAACATCGGAGGTCATGGGCCTGGCTGGCACGAACCGTTTTTGGGCTTCAGCAAGGACAAGCACAGGAGGGCAACATGGAATGGAACAAGCTCAGTGCACATGAGAATGTCCATGTCTCTGGCAACCAACCGCAAGCCGAGAGGTCTGAGAGAGGAGGGCGAAGGCATGTCATGTAGAAAAAGCCTAAAAAGCTCCGTCACAAGGAGCCCAAAAGAGCCCGAAATCCTTCCTTTTGCCCGATGGCCGAAAGCCGTTGAGGCCTGGGCTTGTCGAATGCCTCGGAGCACATCGCCGCTGGGTTGATCATGGCCTCGCGTTGCACGACGACACGCTGCCCGTGGCCAGGGCTATGTTTAGCAGTCAAGAGTCAAGAGCCTGAACCCTCCTAAACGATGTAACCGCCTTATGACTGGGGACTAAGCTTCCTGCCAGGTGGGCACAGGACACTTTTTTGATCGGCGTTCTCGGTTGGCAATTGACCTCGTCACACTCTCGGCCGTGCCACAGGCGTGGCCCCAAGAACTGAGGATGCCCTTGGGATAGATGTGTAGTTAAGCTTGACCACCTCCCTCAGATCTGTGCAGAGATTTTTTTGCAGCCCAAGGCCCAAGCGAGGCAGTAGCATGAGTTCAGCATGTGCCTGCAAGGAGCGGGAATGTGGTAAGTTTCATGCTCATGGAGCGTTTTGCAAGCAACTGCCCAGAACCCTTGCATCTACGGACCAGGACTACCTTTTTGCACTCAACAGAATACCTATTGCTCGCCCAGGTGCTCTCCAACAAAGTCTACCTCCCGCTGGTGCGAGAACCGCAAGTTGTACGGGCAGCGTGCCTGATTTAAACATGCAGAGGTACTGTCTTCAGCTGAGACATGCTGAGACTTCTGCTCATTGAGCTTAGATTCAGTCTTTCAGGGATGTGGTTGCGGAAGGCTTCGGTCCAGACAGTCCTGCCTTCTGCCTTGCTGATAATTTTGCTCCGCCGGCTATCCTGGCTGCTTAAAGGGGCTAGTTGCTAGCACCCATGTGATCCTTACGAGGGACCTCTAAAGTCCCCTACTAATTCTGTCTGTACGGTGATGTCTTTGCAGACACCAAAAGCGACACAAGCCGAGAACTTGAGGTGGAGCCGAGATACGTGCAGATTGGGCCAGGCAGGTATATTATTCTACCGCTGTCAGCCTTGATACATTGTTATGCCACTCATTATGATGTGCTAATCCAGTGCCAGTCCTATGAGTACTTTGCTGAAGCTGCTATTTGACGCTGCAGCTGTTCCCTCGGGTTTTGGATTTCCTCTGGTCTAGGGCCAATTCAGATTCCATTCCAAGCAGCTGCGAGCGGATAGTGCAGTCGAACCCATGCTTCCAGAAAGGTCTGAACACATGTTGCAGGAATTTGCCGTTGAACATGGGGATGTTCCAAAGACTTCTCATCCTTTTGCATCACCAGTTCAGGATCATGTAGCGCGGCCCATTCATCCTGGCGAGGCATGATGAAGTCAATCCTGCCCGCACAGGAGGGTTCTTAAACAATGTGAGTTTGCGAGGTGATGATGGCTTAATTCGGATTTTTCATGCAAAGCGGCCTGTTTCCAGGCACTCCGCTGCCACCGCTTCGCATAACTGGCTCAGGTGCGCATAGCTATGCTGTCATGAAGTTGCTGCAAATTAGGGCTACCCATAGCAAAGCTGAAGAGTGCTGCTTCATTGCTTGTTTGCGGCAAATCCATGGTTCCTTACACGGGTGCAAGTCGTGATATACAGCATGTAATACGCGAGTACGGATAGTACAGGGCCTGAGTTTCAACTAGTGCCTAGTTGGCTGGTTTCTAGCCCGTCTGCTCACATAGCGAGCATTGACCATGAAAGGTCTACGCACCTGTTTATGTTATGTAGACGATGACAAGCATGCAGCGGCCCTAATCCTTGACAGCTAAAGCACTCCTGTTTGGTGCTTGGTACAGTTCCGTGCCCGCTCGATGCTAACTGGCTGCTGCGGTAGCTTACCATTGTGACGCTCATTGGAGATTCCAGGCTAATCAGGTCTTGCTGCTGAGTTCTGGAAGGCATCAACACGGCCCTAGATGGCTGCTGCACGATCTCGACAGTCAGCGGCCAAGCTGTGCCATCACCTCTGCCACACAACAGCTTCACTTTGTGGCTTAGCACAGAAACCTCTCTTCCAGAGCTTTATATCTCGAAGCTTGAGTACTCTGTGTACTCTGTGGATACTCAGGATCAGGCTGCAGGAACAATCAAGGAGGACCGCCTGAAGGCAGGGCTGAGCATGGAAGCAGCGTATTAGCCACCTCCCTTCGTATTGATTTGGGTTTTTTCTTTGCACAGTTGCAGTCCCTTTCTACTAGTCCGGTCTTTCGGAGAAGTCGCCACAATGCAGCTCACATCCTTATGTCCAGGATTGAATCAATTCCTTGCAAGGACTTTCTTTTTTTCTAGAACAACGGTAAAAGGATTATTGCTTTTGAGGGTGCAAATTTGGGGGAAGCTGAGGAGTTTCAGGCCCAGCTTAGAGCTTAAAGGGGGGTTATATAGGGGGATTATATGGGTAGTTCCCGAAAACAGGGTCCCATTTTGGTACCCCTAAACACTAGGTGCCGTAATAGAATCTGTAACCAAAAGGGGCCCATGATTTTGAAAACCACCCATGGACGGGAATATCATGGGAGATATTGAAGGAGGGGGATAGAAACCCTAAACCCTAAACCCTAAATCCTAAACCCTAAACCCTAAACCCTAAACCCTATGCATGGTCAGGTCATGACCCGGCCAACCTTCCTGTATCGCATCTCGGGTGTGTGGCCCTCGGATGGCTTGGAGTTCTGCTGGGGGGGTTATATAGGGTTAGGATTTAGGGTT